CATACATCTAAGCATGGTCGTACATTACTTCTGCTTTATGTAGATGACATGTTGATCACTGGAGATGATGTTGGGTATATTGCTTTTGTTAAAAAGAAGTTGAGTGAGCAATTCAAGATGTCAGATTTGGGGCCTCTCAGTTATTTTCTAGGAATTGAGATCGAGCACACAGATGATGGTTACTATATCTCCCAACAAAAGTATACTCAAGATTTGATTTCTCGCTCGGGTATTACCGACTCACGCACTGCTGTGACACCCATGGAGATTCATCTGCAGTTGCGTCCTACTGATGGCACTCCTCTTGAGGATCCCTCTCGGTACCGTCACATTGTAGGCAGTCTGGTGTATCTTACAGTGACAAGGCCTGACATTGCTCATGCAATCCATATTCTCAGTAAATTTGTCAGTGTTCCTACCTCAGTTCATTATGGCCATCTACTTCGAGTGCTTCGATATTTAAGGGGGACTGCATCCCGCCGCTTGTTCTATGCTCATTCGAGTCAGCTGCAGCTTCATGCTTATTCCGACTCCACTTGGGCAAGTGACCCAATCGATCGTCGCTCTGTCACTGGCTATTGCATATTTCTTGGGACGTCTCTTATTGCATGGAAATCCAAGAAGCAAACTGTAGTGTCACGCTCTAGCGCTGAGGCAGAGCTTCGGGCACTTTCTACTACGACATCTGAGATTGTGTGGCTTCGTTGGCTATTGGCTGATCTTGGTGTTCCATGCCCTACACCCACAACTCTTCTTTGCGACAATACTGCTGCCATTCAGATTGCTAATGATCCAGTGAGGCATGAGCTGACCAAACACATTGGTGTGGATACCTCCTTCACTCGATCTCATTGCCAACAATCAACTATTAATCTCCAGTATGTCCCATCAAAGCTTCAAGTTGCAGATTTCTTCACAAAGGCTCAAACTAGAGATCAGCATAGGTTTCACATTTGCAAACTCGGTGTATCAGATGCTACTGACCCACCTTGAGTTTGAGGGGGGGTGTTAAGGGAGCACCCTGTGTACACATGTATAGGCTGTAGCCCAGAGCCGTGTAAGGCCCAGGCCCATGTAACCCTCTACTTCTAGCTTCTTCCTCTCCATACAGAAACTCTGCTTTTCGTCTATCTTTCACAATATTGAACAACAACATAGGTGAATAAACAAAGCCAACCCGGCTCGAATATGGAATATCTCTATCATGCAGCAACTTTTCTGAAGTTCCCTGGGATAACCAACAGAAAAGTGAGCGATCAGTACCTATGCAGGTGGGTAGACCGAGCAAGGGAAAGACAAAATCTCTTCAAGCAAGGGGTAACCTAGGCAAAAAAAAAAAAAAGGACTGCAAGAGTGATACAAAACAATCTATGTTTGTTAGTTCTATATCTCAAACAGAGGAGTACTAACGACGTACGCTGATACAACTCACTGGATGAGTATCATTCCCAAACTAATTGTACATCAGCACAGGGCCTTTCCACTGACAATTTAAACCGTTCCCGTGAAAGCTCTCAGAAGCAACTGAATTTTGAATACAACGAACCGGTAACAGAAGGAACTAATTGATCAATTGTAGCCAACTGAGATTGACCTAATGGCATCGAAACAAACGACAGTGTGAGCCACCGGAATTTTTCTTTTTGACAGAACGGACCGAGATCGGTTTTCTTGTTGCTGGGGAGAGCGGAGGGATGTAGTGCGAAACTGCCCCGATTAAAAATATGGGCGCGGCGGGAGGAGGTCCAGAGGACAGCCGTGTGAAGCAGCCTCGACACGGGATAAGAGGAGAATGACATTGATGGTGGCGGCGCGGTGTGAGGAACCGAGAAGAAGAAGAGATGGGTAGGCATGAAGCGTTCGTCCACCATCAGCGCCACCGCAAGAAAAAGGGAACGGAAAGCGGCACATCGCACACAGATATCACATACACGGTCCACTTACCGGATTTGATGAATAGTCGGCCCAGTAAACGCCAGGGAACGGAAAGCGGCACACCGCACACAGATATCACATACACGGCCCACTTACCACATTTGATGAATAATCGGCCCAGTAAACGCCAGGGAACCCAGGTACGGCTATCCAGTCGTGTGACGCGATTTGAAACAGGATGTCGCCGCTAGAAGGAGCCGTCCACGTGTTGTTGGCGCTGCTTCCATATTGAAGCCATCCTAACCTTATCGATGACCGTTGCGCAGTCTTCGTGCACGTGCCTTAAAAACCAGCGTTTTGGGGCAACAGTCGTGGTCCTTGAACCCTTGAATCGATTCGAAGAACTTGGCACCAAATCTCATTGTCGCGTACGCACGACGAGAAACTCTAATGTTACCGCCTTGAGGAGCTGGCAGGAATGTACGTTGGAACTCCGTTTAATCCATCTTGATGAACGAACTTGAGGAGGATAGAAGCCGAGAAGACTGACTCGAAGAAGAAGCGTCACCCCTGCAAGGACTAAAATATCTAACCTATCTACTAGCCGGAGTCGAGGCACCAGGATTCCCTTTTGCGTCGTTGGTTGCCAGAAGAGCTACTACGGAGAGGCGAATCCATGAGCTCACTGACAAAGATTGAGAGAAGGAAGGCTTTGCCCTAGTCGCCTTATGAGAGGGGACAGAAAAATATGTGTAGTTCCACATCCACCCTACTCATTTCGGCCCTCTTCCGTTCTTCCATTATGTGGGCACTCCTTTCCCTTCTTCCCTAATGGATGATGGCTTAGAGAGATAGAATAGACTTGGAGAGAGCGGATCACACGCAATCAGGAGAGAGACGGGCTTCCTTAAATAGGAAAAACACATGCTAATACATGTGTGCTGCCATGTTTTTCTTTTTCCAGGTAATGTGTAGAGTGATCGTTCGCTGCAATAATGTGTCACAGCGGAAGGCTATTCTATGTTCCTCGCAAGGAATATATGTAGACCGGCAGCCCCCAACCACGCCGTCGCCGGGCCCCCCTTCTCCAGCTAATCCCCTCGCCGCCGCCGGAGGCCACAACCGGGCGAAGCCCGCGTCGTGGCGGCGGCGGCGGGGTCTTCCCCCTGTGGCGCGGCTCTCCTCTCCCGCGGGGCCCCGCGGCTGGCGGCCCGCCTGCGGCTCGGATCCATGGCGACGGCCATGGCTGGTGGCACGCGGCGCTGCTTGGCGGCGGGCGGCGCCGGCGTGATCAGGTGGGCCACTTCCCTGGCTATGTGGATGGCGGGAGGTGGTGGGTTTTGGCTGCGGCGGCGGTTCCTCGCTGGATGTTGGTGGCCATGGTGATGTTCGTCCTCGACCCCGATCTACTCCGATCTGCAGCGGATCCGGCCCTTGGTGGCTTCGGTCACTGTTCTTGGGTGCTGGCCTTGCAGATCCGGTGGCTGGAAGGGTTCCGAGGAAATCTCTTGGCCGGCGTGGCGGCCACTCCGATAGCAGTGCCTTTGGGTGTTGCTTCCCTCGTTGGAGGCTTCGGAGAGGATCTCCTTCCTTCCACCCCTCCCAGGAGCTCAGGTGAAAACCTCAGCCCCCCCCCTGTTCCAAGCGACGGCGACACCATGGTGGCGTGCTCCTTCCTGAAGGCGTTGCTCGGGGGCTGCTCAAGCGGCGGTGGAAGTGGCGGCGGTTCGGTGTCGACACATGCATTCTGATTAGCTTCATCTTGGAGGCTGCGGCGACATAGGCGACGCTCGTCTGGTGGAGCTACTGCCGATGGTCGAGGCATCGTTGGCAGTCTGCGCCATCAGGTTCGGGGTGCTCATGGGGAAACCCCAGATCTGGGTCTTCCGGATCGGATGATGATGGCGTTCTATCGCTTTCCCTTCTAGGGGCATGGTCTTAGAGAAAGTGCTGGCTGGAGGGATGGTGGAGCGGTGTTTCATCCCAAACTTTGATGGCGGCGGAGATCGATGGCATGTCGCTGTGGAGACTCGGCGTCCGACGTGTGGAGATGGGCTCGTGCAGGAGGAGGTTGCTGTCTGGCGTCATGGTGACGTCGATGGCAGAGTAGCCAGACAAGGTAGAAGCCTCAATATGATCTGAAGACCTGTGGAAGATAGCGGTGACGACACACGAGTGCGTCTGACCGGATTGTGCCCCAGACCCGGTATGTGGCTCGGTTGGGGCTTCCGAATGAGTTTCAGCTTCCGGCTTTTGATGTTAGGCTTAAGTGAGTGGTTTGGGTAGTGGCCCAGCTAGCACTCCTTCATCATTTTGGATAGGAGTAGCGGCATATGTTGCCAAGATGGTGGATTCAGGCACATTGTTGTAATACTTTGTAAGGTCCTCAAGAATAATCAATAAAGTGGCCGTATGCATCTCCCAGATGCATAGGTCGGAGGTCATCCTTCTTTTCTAAAAAAAATGTTCCTCGCAAAAAAGAGAGGCTATTCTATGTTGTGCGGTCGAGCGGTGATGCAACGATGCTAGGTAAGGTTGAAGAAAGGATGAGCGGATCACATAATCTTATGTCATTTTTAAGTATACCATGATGATCCGTGATTACAATTGGGAGTTCTACATAGAAAATGATTAGTAGAATCCAATAAATTAATCAGGGCACATGGGCGCCACTAAGCTCCTGAATCCACCCCACTCATTTCGCTTCATTCCTTCTTCCCTTCCACTAAGCGGGCACAAAAATAATAATGGATGACGGCTGGGAGAAAGATATGATCGACCGTCCCCCGCAAAAAAGAAAGAAAAAAAGAAAGAAAGATATTATCGACCGGGAGAGAGCGGATCACACATGAGATCAGGTATAAGATATGTGCTTCCCTAAAATAAAGAGATATTCCATGCCAGTACATGCGTGTTGCGGTGTTGGCATGTTTTTTTTTTACAAATGTGCCAGATATGTACTTTCCTAAAATAAACTATACTTCGGATTCGTCCCAGCGATCTCGGAGACCGCGACGTCAAGGGGTACATTAGCTGCTTCTCCGTCCTCGGCTCCACCACTCTATATAAGTGGCGATCTCTGTCTCCCGAGTAATCTCATTTCTGGCGCCAAGAGAGGAAGCACCATGGACGATGCCGGCGAGATGCACGCGTTTGGGCGCAGCCTGCGGGGGGAGAGCTCGGTTTGGTCGCGCGGCAGTGGCGACCTGTTCCCGCGGTCGTCGCCGGACTATGACGAGGAGGAGGCACTGCGATGGGCGGCGCTGGAGAAGCTGCCCACCTACGACCGCGCCCGGACGGCGGTGCAGGCCATGCCGGGGGAGGGGCTTAAGGAGGTGAACGTGGAGAAGCTGAGCGCCCAGGAGAAGCACGCGCTGCTGCAGCTCGTCGCGTGGGTCGGCGACGACCACGAGCGCTTCCTCTCGAAGTTCAAGGACCGCCTCGACCGGTACGTCATGGACCGATCGACGACTGATTCAATAATTTCAATCTCGATTAATTGGTTCATCCCTTCACTTGTGATGTTCTTTGTTGGTTGCGTGCAGAGTTGGGATTCAGCTGCCGACGATCGAGGTGAGATACGAGAACCTCAACGTGGAGGCACAGGCGCACGTTGGGAGCAGGGGCCTGCCCACCATCCTCAACACCTATGCCAATCTACTGGAGGTACGTCAAACACAAGAGCTCCCACAAGTACTACTCTTCGAAAAATGTAGTACTACTTAATTTGTATACATGCATGCTGGTGATCGTCTTCAAACAGGGCCTGGCAAATGCTCTTCACCTAACACCAAACAGGAAACAGAAGATACCAATCCTTCACAATGTCAGTGGAATCATCAAGCCCCACAGGTAATTAACTTCTAGACATGCTGTGCACTTGACAAATCAACTCCATTAGACCATTACATTCAACCTCATCCCTTCCATTTTTAGGATGACCTTGCTTTTGGGACCCCCTGGCGCCGGAAAGACCTCACTGCTTTTGGCCTTGGCCGGAACTCTGCCTTCAAGTCTTAAGGTGCATCGCTTTACTTTTGGTTCTTTTTTTTTCATCAAGCTACTTTTGTTGTCGGTGCAAGTACTAACACGACGGAACATTGCAATCACAAAAGATGTCTGGGGACTTAACTTACAATGGGCATACTATGGATGAGTTTGTGCCACGGAGATCTGCAGCTTATGTCAGCCAACATGATCTGCACATGGCCGAACTGACTGTCCGTGAGACAGTCAACTTCTCTGCAAAATGTCAAGGAATTGGTCACCGTTTTGGTAAGACCAAGTAACATGGAAACCCCAAGACCCATCACGGAAACATATCGCATTGAGTAGCTTATTAAATTTTGTACTGAATGATCAGACCTGCTAATGGAGCTATCCCGGAGAGAAAAGGAACAACACATCAAACCAGACCCAGAAATAGATATCTACATGAAGGTACTACAGTTGTTGTTACATTTTAAATCGTTTTTTTCTTCGTAAAAAGAGGTTTAACCCCACGGCATCTGCATCATTACGATGCACACAATCATATTTATTGAAATAAACAAAGAACAAGTCATATCATGCAGTACATTATGAAACATCCAGGGGATAAATGCCACAACCGACTTATAATAAAGAAACATGCCTACACACATAACGTATTAATGAAATACCATCCAAATCGGTTGAATATGTCCAGTGCAACCGTCTCCCATCGGCTGAATCCAAACGCCACATGCTCATGCGCTTCCGCACGCTGAAGTAAGGACCGTATGAGGTGACCTGCAAATAAGTTGGTATCTTTGTTCTATTAAAAGCACAGTCATTACGGCACCTCCATAATCCCAGAGAAAAGTGCACACTCGCACATGATGTGTGCTTTAAACTTAGGACGAACCCCATCCAACCAGTTGCCGAACAAATTCTATAAACTAGTAGGTTGAAAGCTAAAAGAATCATACATCAAAGAAGGTTGGTGAATATACAAGAAATAAATAGATGTTGATTTGTTTCCTTTTGATGAAGAAAGTAACATTCTTTTTACTTTCTTGTAACACATGTTTTCCAAAATTATCCTTCGTTAGGATAGCCCCTCCATACAAAACCGACATGATTATCTTATTCTTGAGCAGAACCTTCATTTTCCAAATATATGTCCTACGAAAGATGGGGCCGGTATTTATGAGATCCGCATACATAGATCGTACCAAGAGGACTCCAGAAGAATGCAACCGCCATCAAAAGAATTCGGTTTGTTACTTAAGTTGACTTACATCAACTATCTTAATAAATGGAGCCATGAAATCCACTTATCCCCGATCAAAGATCGAAGAAATTGGACACTCAACGAGGTTGTACCTAATAATGTACCAGCAAAAACCTCTTTTCGTTGCACAATATTATTGTTGTGGAACGTTGCAGAAAACAAAAAAAATTCTCTTCGTTTCACCAAGATCTATCTATGGAGTCATCTAGCAACGAGAGGGGAGTGCATCTACATACCCTTGTAGATCGCGAGCGGAAGCGTTCAAGAGAACGGGGATGATGGAGTCGTACTCGCCGTGATCCAAATCACCGATGACCAAGTGCCGAACGGACGGCACCTCCGCGTTCAACACACGTACGGAGCGGATGACGTCTCCTCCTTCTTGATCCAGCAAGGGGAAAGGAGAGGTTGACGGAGATCCAGCAGCACGACGGTGTGGTGGTGGATGCAGCAGTGATCGCAGCAGGGCTTCGCCGAGCTTCTGCGAGAGGGAGAGGTGTAACAGGGGAGAGGGAGGCGCCAAGGCTTCAGGTGCGGCTGCCCTCCCCCCCTTTATATAGGCCTCCTAGGGGGTGCGCCGGCCCTAGGAGATGGGATCTCCTAGGGGGGGCGGCGGCCAAGGGGGTGGAGTGCCCCCCAAGGCAAGTGGAGACGCCCCCTCCCCTAGGGTTCCCAACCCTAGGCGCATGGGGGGCCCAAGGGGGGGGGCGCACCAGCCGACTATGGGCGGGTTCCCTCCCCACTTCAGCCCATGAGGCCCTCCGGAATGGGTGGCCCCACCCGGTGGACCCCCGGGACCCTTCCGGTGGTCCCGGTACAATACCGCTAAACCCCAAAACTCTCCCGATGGCCGAAACTGCACTTCCTATATATAATTCTTCACCTCCGGACCATTCCGGAACTCCTCGTGACGTCCGGGATCTCATCCGGGACTTCGAACAACTTTCGGGTTACTGCATAGTCATATCTCTACAACCCTAGCGTCACCGAACCTTAAGTGTGTAGACCCTACGGGTTCGGGAGACATGTAGACATGACCGAGACGACTCTCCGGTCAATAACCAATAGCGGGATCTGGATACCCATGTTGGCTCCCACATGCTCCTCGATGATCTCATCGGATGAACCACGACGTCGAGGATTCAAGCAACCCCGTATACAATTCCCTTTGTCAACCGATACGTTACTTGCCCGAGATTCGATCGTCGGTATCCCAATACCTCGTTCAATCTCGTTACCGGCAAGTCACTTTACTCGTACCATAATGCATGATCCCGTGACCAGACACTTGGTCACTTTGAGCTCATTATGATGATGCATTACCGAGTGGGCCCAGAGATACCTCTCCGTCATATGGAGTGACAAATCCCAGTCTTGATCCGTGTCAACCCAACAAATACTTTCAGAGATACCCGTAGTATACCTTTATAGTCACCCAGTTATGTTGTGACGTTTGGTACATCCAAAGCACTCCTACGGTATCCGGGAGTTACACGATCTCATGGTCTAAGGAAAAGATACTTGACATTGGAAAAACTCTAGCAAACGAACTATACAATCTTGTGCTATGTTTAGGATTGGGTCTTGTCCATCACATCATTCTCCTAATGATGTGATCTCGTTATCAATGACATCCAATGTCCATAGTCAGGAAACCATGACTATCTATTGATCAACGAGCTAGTCAACTAGAGGATTACTAGGGACATGTTGGTGTCTATGTATTCACACATGTATTACGATTTCTGGATAACACAATTATAGCATGAATAAAAGACAATTATCATGAACAAGGAAATATAATAATAATCCTTTTATTATTGCCTCTAGGGCATATTTCCAAAAGTCTCCCACTTGCACTAGATTCAATAATCTAGTTACATTGTGATGAATCGAACACCCATAGAGTTCTGGTGTTGATCATGTTTTGCCCTAGGGAGAGGTTTAGTCAACGGATCTGTGACATTCAGATCCGTATGTACTTTACAAATATCTATGTCTCCATCTTGAACATTTTCACGAATGGAGTTGAAGTGACGCTTGATGTGCCTGGTCTTCTTGTGAAACCTGGGCTCCTTGGCAAGTGCAATAGCTCCAGTGTTGTCGCAGAAGAGTTTGATCGGCCCCGACGCATTGGGTATGACTCCTAGGTCGGTGATGAACTCCTTCACCCAAATTGCTTCATGCGCTGCCTCCGAGGCTGTCATGTACTCCACTTCACATGTAGATCCCGCCACGACGCTGTGCTTGCAGCTGCACCAGCTTACTGCTCCACCATTCAACATATACACGTATCCGGTTTGTGACTTAGAGTCATCCAGATCTGTGTCGAAGCTAGCGTCGACGTAACCCTTTACGACGAGCTCTTCGTCACCTCCATAAACGAGAAACATGTCCTTAGTCCTTTTCAGGTACTTCAAGATATTCTTGACCGCTGTCCAGTGTTCCTTGCCGGGATTACTTTGGTACCTACCTACCAAACTTACGGCAAGGTTTACATCAGGTCTGGTACACAACATGGCATACATAATAGACCCTATGGCTGAGGCATAGGGGATGACACTCATCTCTTCTATATCTTCTACCGTGGTCGGACATTGAGCTGAGCTCAATTTCACACCTTGCAACACAAGCAAGAACCCCTTCTTAGACTGATCCGTATTGAACTTCTTCAATATCTTATCAAGGTATGTGCTTTGTGAAAGACCTATGAGGCGTCTTGATCTATCTCTATAGATCTTGATGCCTAATATATAAGCAGCTTCTCCAAGGTCCTTCATTGAAAAACTCTTATTCAAGTAGGCCTTAATGCTGTCCAAAAGTTCTATATCATTTCCCATCAAAAGTATGTCATCTACATATAATATGAGAAATGCTACAGAGCTCCCACTCACTTTCTTGTAAACGCAGGCTTCTCCATAAGTCTGCATAAACCCAAACGCTTTGATCATCTCATCAAAGCGAATGTTCCAACTCCGAGATGCTTGCACCAGCCCATAAATCGAGCGTTGGAGCTTGCACACCTTGTCAGCATTCTTAGGATCGACAAAACCTTCCGGCTGCATCATATACAATTCTTCCTTAAGGAAACCATTAAGGAATGCCGTTTTGACGTCCATTTGCCATATCTCATAATCATAGAATGCGACAATTGCTAACATGATTCGGACGGACTTCAGCTTCGCTACGGGTGAGAAAGTCTTATCGTAGTCAACCCCTTGAACTTGTCGATAACCCTTAGCGACAAGCCGAGCTTTATAGATGGTCACATTACCATCCGTGTCTGTCTTCTTCTTAAAGATTCATTTATTTTCTATGGCTCGCCGCTCAACGGGCAAGTCAGTCAAAGTCCATACTTTGTTTTCATACATGGATCTTATCTCAGATTTCATGTCTTCCAGCCATTTGTCGGAATCCGGGCCCGCCATCGCTTCTTCATAGTTTGAAGGTTCACCGTTGTCTAACAACATGATTTCCAAGACAGGGTTGCCGTACCACTCTGGTGCGGAACGTGTCCTTGTGGACCTACGAAGTTCAGTAGCAACTTGATCTGAAGTTTCATGATCATCATCATTAACTTCCTCTCTAGTCGGTGCCGGCACCTCAGGAACATTTTCTTGAGTTGCACCACTTTCCGGTTCAAGAGGTAATACTTCATCAAGTTCTACTTTCCTCCCACTTACTTCTTTCGAGAGAAACTCTTTCTCTAGAAAGGATCCATTCTTGGCAACAAAGATCTTGCCTTAGGATCTGAGGTAGAAGGTATACCCAATAGTTTCTTTAGGGTATCCTATGAAGACGCATTTTTCCGATTTGGGTTCGAGCTTTTCAGGTTGAAATTTCTTGACATAAGCATCGCATCCCCAAACTTTTAGAAACGACAGCTTAGGTTTCTTCCCAAACCATAATTCATACGGTGTCGTCTCAATGGATTTCGACGGAGCCCTATTTAAAATGAATGCGGCAGTCTCTAAAGCATAGCCCCAAAATGATAGCAGTAAATCGGTAAGAGACATCATAGATCGCACCATATCTAATAGAGTGCGATTACGACGTTCGGACACACCATTACGCTGAGGTGTTCCAGGCGGCGTGAGTTGTGAAACTATTCCACATTTTCTTAACTGTGTGCCAAATTCGTGACTCAAGTATTCTCCTCCACGATCTGATCGCAAGAACTTGATTT